CTAAGCTACCACCCACTCCTTGTCTTCTTAGGTCACGCCCCCGTGATCTAGATCCTATCCATAATGTCATCTTCAGAGTTCACTGTTGGCCAGCTTTCCTCACCCTAAATCCCAGTTATTGACACAAGAAATACTAAAATTACTACATAGATTGCCAAATTCTTCTGAGTCTTGATTCACATTTCATAACCCTTAAGAACATACTTCTAGGTACTTTAGATAATTTTATTCCTACCCTTGAGAATAGCAAAAATAGATACAGTTGGTGAGTTTAATAATCATGTGATTTGAGGTCACTAGCTAGGTTTTCCACAAGGCCTTGTTCTCTGAGGGTCTTCCTCAGTCTCTCAGTAGAATTCCAGCAAGAGAGTTTACCCATTGCTTCTTAAGATGCCAGACTCTTTTTGCAGTCTCCAGTGATTAGTCAGACCCCTCAAACCCTCTCTTATCCTGGAAGTGTGAGCCTTACATTCACCGGACAAGCCTGGGATTGCCTACAAAGCTCCCAGGTAAAGAGTTTGTGCCTTTTCTAATCTCTTCCTGTTGGTGTTGGCTTTAATTCCTGGACAGTTGTGATCATTCTGGGTTTCTTTTTCTGTTGTCATTTGTATTCTCCAAGACCACTTTAGTATGTGATATATAGAGAGAAAGACTTTTTTTTTTTTTGTGAGATTCTCTTTCTTCTGGCTAGGGTTTGGAACCTAAAAGTGAACGCAGTGATCTGTCGGGTCCCTGTAACCTTCTTGGCTAAACAATGAAGGTAAACACCCCGAGACATTGCTGGATCTTATTTGATGGGCCATGTTTCATAACTACACCTTGCTACCCTACATCTCTCAGGATTCCCCCAGCTAGACAGCCAGTGATTCCACACCAGCAAATAACTCCCAATTATATATGTTTGCTTAATGTTTATTAAATTGTCAATAATTGACGCCACTCTGCTGCAGTCACCAGATTGCAAAACGCTGAGAAGCCAGAGGATAAGGCTCTAAGGAGTTGGTAATTCGTTCACCTTCCCCCCATGCCAGCCTCGGCTGCAGTGTCAAGTTTAATTTCTGTCTCCCCGGGCTTAGGCCAGCAAGAACAGGCCTACTAAATTGACTATCTCCACATGCAAAATGGGATCAACATTTTTGTCCGAGTTGAACAATCAATTCTTACCCGCTAAAAAAGTAAAACAATCACTTTGACTCTTTTCCTTCCCATTTAATTGTGGGGCTGAATTGACTGATCAAATGGCAACAGATTGTGAGGTAATGAAAAATAGCATAGGCGGCTCAGCGCGGAATGCAGGAGGGCGCTCCTCCAGGAGTCCTGTCAGACTCTTTATCAGCCTGCTGAGGTTACGGGGTCTTTGAATACTTCTAGTTGAGTGTGTGGAGGGGGAGACCGCATCTTCACCCAGCATTCTGCTCAATCCATTTGTGACAATTAATCTCGGTCAAGTTTCCTCATGGAGACACTTAATAGAAACATAGCTTAGTTTTCCCAAGACAAATGTGTCTTCAGATTACGGTACCAAAACAGCACCAGTTAAATATTGTCATCTTTACTTAGGATAGTTTCTTCAGGGTCCATTTTCCTCTGGAGCACCCCGTCTCAACAACCTCAAGGACCCGTCACTGTATCCTCTATCCACTGTCTTGTCTCCGTAGACGTGTCTTAGAAACCCCCAAGTGTTCACTATGTGGAAAAGGGTTTGTTGGCTGTTCGTATCAGTCATTTTTCTCTTTGCTATGGCAAAATGTTTGGCACAATTAGCTTAAAAAAGGAAGGGTTTTGTTTGGCTCAGATTTAAAGGTACGGTCCCTCTCAGTGTGGAGTTCAAGGCCAGAAGGGTGGTTCCTACTTGGATACACAAGATGCCTGGATTTATCGTGTCTATGTCTGGGTGTCAGAGAAAGGAATGCTGGTGTTCAGCTCATTTTCTCTGAAGCTTCACACCGTGATGACATCACCAGTCTATTGCCATCATCAGTGACTCCTGACTGGCTTTCCTTGCTGATTCAGTCAGGGACCCCGGCTCACAGTCAGGGTGGGGCTCTCTGCTCTCACTTAAAGCCCTCTGAAAAGGCCATCACAAGTACCACAGAGTTAGGTTTTTACTGAGATTCTCCATGAAGTAGACAGCAAAGAGCAGCCACCACAGATGCCGTCCCCAAACACCCTCTTCTAGGAGAAAGGGGAACCTCAAGGGCTGCCCCCATCTTCATGGCTTAGAAGGGGTTGGTGACACATGCCAAGCATAACGTCATCATCATTACTACTGTCACCACAGCCTCCAACAAACTTTCCTTGTTGGTGTGTCCCTCCACATGTTCTCCATCTTAGAAACCATGCACGATGCACCCAATAAGAAAAGAAAAATATAAATGAATTATTCTAAGAAACAAAAATGGCTCACAGCAAATGCCAAGGGGAAAAAAAAATAAAAGATGGGAAAAGAATCCAAACAGTCAGCAGTCTGTGTCAGTCAGACCCTTGTTGCTGACACACATCTGAGAGAAACAACTTCCAAGACGGAAAGGGCTGGTTTGGCACACCGTTTTCAGGGTTCTGGTCCGGGCCATTCTCTCTTTTGCTGTGTGCCTGGGGCAATAGAAAACATGGGGGCAAAACATATGGAGAAGGGGGCTGTTTGCGTCATGGTGGAAGGAAGTGGGGGTGGGGGACAAGATGTGCCTCCTAAACACACACCTGCTTCCTTCTAGATCCCACCTTCTGAAGTTCCCCACATAGTGCCAGCGTTGGGAGACAAAGCTTTTTAAGACATGAACCAGGGGGTGACGGAACAGTTCATATTTTACTCACAACAGAGACTGAGAAAACATCCCTAGGGCAACGGCCTAGGCTTTTTCTTATAAATATATCGCAAGTTTGTTCCTAAGCTTTCAAGCAGACACTCAGTTTGGTAATTAATTAGGCTCATAAAAATTAATGACTACTTACTACACACCAAGTATTCACTAAGCCTCGTGTTAGGCAACGAATAACATTTGAATTATAGGATTCAATTACCAAACAATTACAAAAGCAAAATTCAATTAGTAAAACAAAAGTCCTTGTTTTTCAACTCTTGGACTGACAAAGATTTCAAAAAAACAAAAAGTGATGTCTCAGTCATTTTAGAGTTCTGACCATGTCTGCCATGGTAGACAATAGCGGAGAGAAATGTCCTCAGTGGTTCTAGAGGCCAGGAAGACTGTGTGCATCCGAAGAAGCTCTGAACAAGGCCCATCGTGTGGCAGGGGGTGGGAGGCAAGAGGAGAGAGCTCGAGCTGGGGCTTTACAGACTCACTTCCTTTCACAGGGGCGGCAGACCATCCCCAGGACCAGAATCCCCCTTGGCCTATACCCGCCAGTACTTATACCTTGAGGGTTGCAATTCCAGCATGTGACTCAGGAGACACATTCAAATCATAGCTAACGGTCACTCCCGGGTTCAGTGGGGAGCTGGAGAGTGTGACAGACTGACTAGGAGGTCTCTTTCATACCCATTCCCTTCCTCTTCCTCCTGGGAGTCTATTCTTTCCCCATTAGTCTTCCAAGTCCTTTCTTTAAAAGCAAGATAGATCCCCTAGGTCTCCTGTCTCTTTGCCACTTGTTGCAGTGCTGCTGGGCTTAAGCCCTCACCCTGCTTCTCACAAGGCACATGATTGTTGTAGGGTATTAGTTTAAAATGTGTAACATTCATTTATGCAGTGGAGTATTTGTTTGATGATGCAAAGATGTGCTGCATTCTTTTATGTTGCATTTGTTGAACTCTGTAAATTTGTGTGACTTTGTCTGTCTAAAGCACCCGATTGGTCTAATGAAGAGCTGAATGGCCAATAGCTAGGCAGGAGAGAGAAATAGGAGGAGACATCTAAGCTCAAGAGAAAAAAAGTGAGAAACAAGAAAAGGAGGAGAGGAGGATGCTAGGGGCTGACCAGCCAGCCACCCAGCCACCCAGTCACCCACCCAGCCACCCAGCCAGCCACTCAGCCACCCAGCCACCCAGCCAGCCACTCAGCCACCCAGCCACCCAGCCACCCAGCCACCCAGTCACCCACCCAGCCACCCAGCCACCCAGCCAGCCACTCAGCCACCCAGCCACCCAGCCACCCAGTCACCCACCCAGCCACCCAGTCACCCAGCCACCCAGCCACCCAGTCACCCACCCAGCCACCCAGTCACCCACCCAGCCACCCAGCCACCTAGCCAGCCACCCAGCCACCTAGCCAGCCACCCAGCCAGCCACCCAGTCAGCCACCCAGCCACCCAGCCAGCCACCCAGCCAATCAGCCATGGAATAAGAAGAAAAGAAAGATATATAGAATAAAGAAAGGTAAAAGGCCCAGAGACAAAATGTAGTTAAAAAGAAATGGAATAATTTAGGTTAGAAAGTCAGCTAGAAACAAGCTAAGCTAAGTCTGGGCATTCAGAAGCAAGAATAAGTCTCTGTACATATCTTTGGGAGCTGGGTTGTGGGCCCCCAAAGAATAAAAACAAAACAAACAACAAAAAACAAACAAACTAACTACACATGACCACCAGCAAATCACGTCTCCTTTATAAAATCAGGGTTTAGGAAAAGTCTTTCGGTTTGTCCATGACTCATCTGTCACCAGGACAGATGTGGTCAAGTGAGGGCTTCTATGAAATGGAGGAGAAGACAATGAAGATGCCTTCATCCCTTTTGTTTCCGAGCCTTACATTAGAACCCGGGTCCCGAGACAGTCTGCATCCAACTTCCTCCCAGCCATGTGTGTACCATTTCCTCCTTGAATCCACTAACTCATTCATTGGTCATCTGAGGCGCCACATGGCTGGGGACCGTATGGAAAGGAGCTGAGCCCAGCTCATACAGGGAAATTGCTGGTATGAATCACAGTGACCATGTAGTTTACAGCGCACCAAATGCCCATAATTCCATTTCTAAAAGAGAATTTCGAAGAAGTAAGAGGTTGACTACAAAGAGAGATGTCAAATAACACTTACTGGTGTCTTATTTTCAGTGACAAACAAATGCCTGGTCAGCTGAAAATGTACCGAGTAGAAAACTATGCAGTTGCGGAAAATGAGACGGAGCCACAGTTGTCCCGACCATAGCAGCAATCTGTAAGGTATCTAGTTTTTAAGTTTTAGAAATGTAGCCCTCCCATGTGTGTGTGTGTGTGTGTGTGTGTGTGTGTGTGCATGTGCACATATGTGAACGTGCATGCACCTGTGTGCTCATGCATGTGCGTGTGTGCATGTTCACGTTTGTGAACATGCATGCTCATGTGTGTGCATGCATGTGCCATATAGAAAGATGTCAGAGGGTGACGTTTAGGAGTTGTTCCTCTCCTTCCGCCCATGATTCTGAAGAGCAAACTCATGACCCCAGGCTTAGTGGCAAGTGCTTCCACCTGCTGGGCCACCTAACTTTCATGGAATCTGATTTTTAAAAAGTTAATAGATCATTGCTACTGCACTGGAATTTTTATCAAAATTAGAAAACTTGTAAAAAAAATCTTAAAAGATGTGCATACCAAAGATAATCGTGGCTGTTTCTAGATAGTAGGTTTAGAATTATTTTTTCCTATTATTCGTAATTTTCTATATTAATTATTTTCCAATTAAATTTTGCATTATTTTTGTTAGTCAAAGCAAAAAAAAGGAAATCTTATTCATGCCTCTAAGAAAAAAAATAGCACTTCTCCAGCCCAGCCTCTTTGTACAGAAGAAGAAATTATGGTCCAGAGGGGGGGGGGGGGTCATAGGATTTTAATAAACCTTCAACGTGAGTCTAATTACCATTTTCAGCATCTGTTTAGGAGTCTAGAGATACACACTAAGGGGGAGTGCTGAAGTCCTCTCACCAGCTTCACACAGTTGTAGGGTTTCTTGACCTTGGCTTTGTGTTTGCTACAGCAAGAAGATCTGACGGATGGTAGTGCTTTCTTTTGCATCTTAGTCCCAGCCTAGCGGTCAACAACCCCAGCAGTGTAACCTTCCCCAGTAGTGACTCCACACGGTCTCTAATTTCCCTCATGGCTTCCTCTACCCATGTGGAGCCATCACTGCTCCCGGGGGTTCTATTTGTGTCTGGTTGGACTCGTTTCACTCTCCTCAAAATGTTTGCTCCAAATGAACCCGTTCAATCTGGTATCTCTCTGTCTTCAGCTCCTTGTGTAGGACAATTGAACGATGGTCGGTACCCCCATTTTCTGTGAGCATGAAATGGAAGCCGGTAGTGAGGGGATATGTAAGGTATTGGGAGGCTAGCTTCAATGCCCTGACTCATGAACCTGGTATGATCTGATTCCATAAACATGCTAGGCTGCATGGAAGAGAATGATGAAAGTGATTCTCCGTCTTCCATAACTTAAACATGGAGACACAAGCAATTCCTTTCTTCTTTTACAACACGACTGAGTCATTTATTGGGGCAACCTTTTCATTTTCCTCCCGTATAAAAGAGCAGATCTCCATAAAAACATTTATGAGTAAACTATTCTAGATGAACTCAAATAGGCAGCTATTATACCGGGCGCCACTACTCAGCCAATGCCTGGGGAAACCCTAAGGCTACAGAGACTGGGTTGGGGAGAGCGTGATAAAAGACTTACTTAAACAAATGTTGTAAGAAGTCTGCTTAGTTTCTTCAGGTTTGAGGATGGAGATCCTGAGTAGCGGGGCAGGTTAGAACTGGAAGACCACACCTAGACCTAGGAGGAATAAAGAGGCTCAGACAGAGCGCTGCTCACCATGGACCATGTTAGGTGTCCATCAGCTGGAGCTATCTGAATGCAATATCCATCATTGAAGGGAGGGTATGGATAGGCCAACGAGTTTGTTGAGATTCCCTAAAGACTGAAGTCCATTCCTTCTCCCCATAATCCCTAGAATTGCTTAAATATAGACAGTGTAGAGACGTGGCCAGCTGGTTTCCTTCCATGCCTGAAAGTCCATTGTTTTCACACACACCCCCACCTCCCATGCACTGTCTTTCTCCAGGACTCCAGTGGGATGAAAGGACAGAGGGGGAAGGGAAGAACACCGCCCCCACCCATCTCTCTCTACATCGCACATAATTAGAACCAGTGACCTGAGATATTCTTATGAGATAGTCCATGCTCAAACTTCTCCCACCAAGATGTAGCATGTTCCTCTATGTCTACTCCTTCATTCACGTGTCATCTGAGGCATCAAGTGGCTGGGGATTGGATAGAAACAGCTGAGCCCGGGTCCTACCCAAACCCCAGGAATAGACACAGTCCAGGGAGGTTGCAGGTGTTAATCAAAGGATTGTAAGAATGAACAGGTCATTTGAAAACGCACTAAAAGCACAGAGCAGCATGATTTACAAAGTGGGGTGTTGGCCTCTTCAAGGAGGTCCAGAGATGGCCTCATTCAGCATTAGTACCTGCTCCTTTTAATTCAAGAAACAGATTCCAAAAAATCCACAGTCCTTGGCCGAGGCGACACCCAAGGACCCAGGGGGCAGACATGTGACTTGCTGGATGCCCACTCCATGCCAGACCCTTCACACACCTCCACTGGATTCTCCAAAAGTTCCCTGAGGTTTGGCCCTCGTTCCTGACTGGCAAGTGGAAACCTGGTTTCATAAAAGCTAAGTTGTCTGCTGAGGGTCACGTGTTTTATGAGCAGCAGAGCAAGGGTTGAGTGGTTTACCACATAGAGACAGGAAGGCTCTGGACGCCATCTTGTTTTTAGAGGAAGGAGAACTGGGCAGACTAAGAATGAGGGAAGAGAAAGGAGATCTGGAAGAGGGAAGGGGAAGGAAAATGGTGGAGAGCTCCACCCTAGACAACTGAAGTAAGCTGTGGCTTCCTCACTCTGTCTGGACACAGAACAGACGCAGAGGCGGCGACCAGAACTGAGAGGAGACGCCAAAGGACTGGAAGTCCTTTCCAGTGATATCCATTAGTTCTAGGAATGCCTGTAGAGTTGGCTTTAATCTTGGAGGGCACCAGTGAAGACAGAGGTGACTTTCAAGCTTGTCCTATCTAGAAAGGGCTCCAGAAGGTGAGGCCTCTTGGAAGCTGTGGTTTAGCATTGCCCATTTTGAAGTGTTGAAACCATCAGGCAGGTCCAGCATTCTGAACTTGTGGTACATTCACCTACAAAGTTCACACTTGAGAAGCTCACAATTGAGTCACACACACACACACACGCCCACACACACACACACACACACACACACACACACAGAGTATGTTGTAAGTTTCCACATTCATAGCTATCCTCGTACATGGCCCATGGGCTATAAGCTGGACACGCCTGCTAGTGAATTAAAAACATTCAGATCTCTTTATCTGTCTATCTGTCTATCTGTCTGCCTGTCTGTCTGTCTGTCTGTCCCTACCTCCCCCAGCCTCTCTCAGCAAGTCTTGCACCGTAGGTCTAGGTCTACACTGAAATTGCTATGGAACAGTGGAACACAGGATGAGTTTGAGCATCATATCCTCTGCCTCTACTGCCTGAGCTGAGTTGCTATGGAGCAGGGGAGCAGAAGATGAACTTGAGCTTCCATTCCTCCTGCCTCTACCTCCTGACTTCCGGGCTTACAGATGTGGGCCGCCACATCTGATTCTATGCAGTATCAAAGCTTGAATTCAGGGCTTTGTTTATTAAGCCCTCAGCTGACTGAGTTATATCTCCAGACCCCCCCCCTTTATTTGTTTTTTCGTCACTTCTCTTTTACCCTTCATTTACAAAACTCCTCACTGAGTGGTAGTTACCACCACAGTTCTGTTAGGATTGTGGCCATTCTCATGTACAATCAGAGTGTGAGCTCAGAAGAGTTGAAATAACACGCACAACTGGACAGAAAGTTCCTGACTCTAAGTATTTAAGGACCAGCTGGCAGGGGGGATTTTAAGTCCAGACCTTCTGATTGATTCAACACCCCCTTTTCTTATTTCCTCTCAGTTTGGAAGAGGACAGAAAGAGCTCCAGCCCCCACTCAGTAGAGTACTTTCTCTGGGCGCTCTCTGGCATCGAGAGAAGTGATTGCTTACATTCCGGCTCATTTTTCTGTTAACAAGAGTTTGGTCTTCATTTACACTCTCTCATCCCTCGCTGGTAGCTCTCATATGGAAGTAAGAGAGGATGCTGCGGTTGATGACGCCCAGTCCGGCAATGGGGCCATCTACTCTGTGTTTACATGGTGGGTCGGGCTCATGGTCACAGAGATGTCTGAGAGGACCAGAAGGTGAAGCTGCTGTTCAGAGCCGTGTGATGTTCTCAGGTAATTGTTATTCCCCTTAAAGGGGTGTGTGTGTGTGTGTGTGTGTGTGTGTGTGTGTGTGTGTGTAGAACAAGATCTGTGCCTGCCAGGGAAGCTGTCTTACCACTGACCCACATCCCCTGCCCCCAGTGACTCCCTTGAACGTTGTCCCCAGAAATCTTGACAAAGTCCAGGACAAGAAAACACCACTGGAATCGCTCTCCCAGAGCTCTGTGAGCCACACTAAAAATTAGCCATGGCAGTGGAAGGGCGGCTCCAGGGGGCCAGCGTGAGGGCGTAAATTAATGTTGGCCTTGTGAGTAGCTTGCGCTCCGCCACGTGCACAGCTGTGCAGTCCCCAGGGAGTTGTCTGGCGACATGTGATTTTACATATCTGACAGCTAAATCAGAGACCCAAATGCCAAGCCCTGCACTCAGGAACATTATGTGGATTTGTGACAGTCCCAAGGGGACTCCGGATCCATAAAGCAATGAATGGATTACAATGAGGCATAAATACAGCGTTTTCATCTGTGACATACAATCTTTCTCTATTATTCCTCACGTTGTCACGTGAGGGGAATCTATACCCACATTCTCAGATCCGCTCTCAGAAATTAAAAGGAAAAAGGGTGGTTTAATTTTTTATTTATTCTTATTTTTTTTTTTTTGCAAAGCATCTCAATGTGCTAAGAAATAGACTAGACAATGTGATAATTACGTTGTGGTTTTTTGCAACCCACGTGAACTTTGGGATCACACCTGGGTCAGGAAGTAACCGCCCCAGATCAGTGTGTCAGCTCCGTCACTAACTAGCTGCCTCACTGTGAGGAAGTCATTTCAACTTTCTGAGCCTCAGCTTCCTGGTTTGTCTGGAGGATTCTGCGTTCATTGGCACGCCCTCCCGGGATGATGGCCTTTCGTCTTGTCGGAGGAAAACGGAGCTTCCGTTGCACTTTTAAGTTGTCTAGCAATGTGTAGGCTTCCACAGATGATCATGTACACCCAGCCATCTGTGGTTTAAGAGTGAATGACAGTACACACCTGTTCTCTGAAGGTGAGTTCCGAAGCACATCCCTGCTTCAAGCCTGTGACTGAATCCATCCTGATCATCCCACGGACAATGAACGGATTTAGCAGTCCATGGCTCTACAAAGCTGAGAAGAATCCCTGGTTGTTTTTCTTAGGTTTCCCCTCATCAGGGTTGAGTGTCTCAGCTGTCCAAGAACAAAGGTTCGTGCCCATTCGCGTTGGGTCCCAGCTGTGTGGACTGAGAAGCCATAGGATGCAATTATCGGTCCCCTTTGCCCTGTGTCTTCTGTACCAGTATAGTGTGGGCTCTATCTTGGCAAATAATTACCATCTTTTCTATTTGCCTCATGCGAGAGAGTTCCCAAATCAATTTCAAATGTAATTTTATACATACATCTCTGGGAGTCGGGACGGGTAGGATTCTCCTCTTTTACATTGAAGGAAAGAGATGCAGGCCTAATGACTTCCCCATGGCCACCCAGCTCGTATGTGACAGAAATGCCACCAAAACACTGTTCTCTTGACGAGGACTCCAGGGCTCCTTACAGTTATAAACCAAGTGCAAATGTGCTCCCCGGGACTCAGGGCAAAGGAGGCAGCCGTGTGTATGTAGGTCAGTGGATAGCAAGCCCCAGCCACTTTAAGAGCAGTGCAGTGCGTGGAGCCCACTGTTGGAGGATCGATAGCACCATTCTTACATACACAAGACCCCACATTATTCAGGGAGAAGAAAGCAGATGCACGGGGGCTCCATGCCACCAGCTGTCACGGCTGGCTACGCCGCAGTTCCCGACAAGTGCAGTGTGACAGTCTTTCCACACTGTCGCGGGGAGCAGTTGATGGGGACAGGAGCAGGACGCCTTGCTCAGTGAGGTGTGTAAGAATGAGGGGCACAGAGTGTGGTTTTGATAAGGACTGAGTTCTGCCAGGGGCCTTAGCTCTGGGAGGTGGCAAGTGAGCCCACACCCTAGGCTGGCCACCTTGGGTCCTGCCTTGACCTTGACCTTGACCTTGACGGCAGCTATCCTCACCGGTCCTGCTTACTCTGCCATTCAGTGAAGAGCCACGGAAGCAGTTTGTTCTTTCTGTCCTGAAGCGGTGTCAGGGTGACTAACACATGTGGCTGGGTATGATGCCACTTGTGAGACGGTAACTGATCTTAAATGGCTGCCTCTTTTCTGCTCTAAACGGCACCTCTCTGAAGAGTAGACAGCCCATCTTTGTTACGTCTCTATTTGTACACCTTCTCCCACAGTCTAATTCACAGGAGACTCTCAGAACCCACCTCTTGAGTGAAGTGCTGCCAATGTAACAGTTCCTTAGGAATCTCTCTCTCTCTCTCTCTCTCTCTCTCTCTCTCTCTCTCTCTCATTGGCCTTAAAGTAGTAGGACTCAGTACAACTTAAAATTCATAGTGAAGGAGTTTCAATTACATTAATTATCTAAAATCTTAATCACATTTATTTTTCATTTAGTTCACTGTTGGGGCAGCACATATGTGCCACAGTGTGTGTGTGTGTGTGTGTGTGTGTGTGTGTGTGTGTGTGTGTGTG